CATGACTGGAAGGGATCCTACCAATCAACAAAGTACAACAAATTCATGACCAGAAGGAATTACTTCTGGTTGATGGGATACAACAACCTCATCAACCAGAAGTAATTCCCTTCCCAGTTGAGAAGTTGTTATAACTCATTGACTGGAAGGAAATCTTGCCAGCCAATGAGGTACACCTCATCAACTGAGCTGAAGGATTTCCTTCTGGTAAATAAGGTACACCACATCAACCGACCAGAAGGATTTCCTTCTGGTCAACATCAACTGACCAGAAGGATTTCCTTCTGGTAAATGAGGTACACCTCATTAACTGTTACTGACCAGAAGGATTTCCTTCTGGTCAATGAGGTACACCTCATCAATTGTTACTGACCAGAAGGATTTTCTTCTGTTCAATGAGGTACACCTCATCAACTGTTACTGACCAGAAGGATTTCCTTCTGGTCAATGAGGTACACCTCATCAACTGTTACTGACCAGAAGGATTTCCTTCTGGTCAATGAGGTACACCTCATCAACTTTTACTGACCAGAAGGATTTCCTTCTGGTCAATGAGGTACACCTCATCAACTGAATGGAAGGATTTCCTTCTGGTCAATGAGGTACACCTCATCAACTGACCAGAAGGTATAAATTTGGAGATTACAATCTCAAGAACATTTTGAGCAAGGAATTACCACAAGTTAGAGAGTCTCAAAGATGAATGTTCATTTTGAAGGATCCAAAAAACTGAACCATCAACAGCCTTAACTTTTTAATGGTGCACATATTCTTGAAAGAATATAACCTCAGAATAATTTGATGGGTTTTACATGTTATTCATTTACCTCAAAGCCTGTCAACTTGGTTCTCATGGACATTTATCTTCATAATCTTGTCAATGATGATACTATATGTAGGATACTTTATTTGATCATTTGATTGATAGGATTTATTAGCCCTTCTTTGTAATAACAAATGAATTTTGTCAACTAGCTGTCAAATGGAAGTAATGCTAGGGCTTCTGAAATCCCATATTTGATTTTAAGTGATGGTGAGAAATGACTGGAATAGACTATGAAGACTCACTAGATGGGAATGGTGAGTGATTTGTATGGAGGGAAGTGATTTGTATGGAGGCAAGTGATTTGTATGGAGTTTGTAATTAATTTCTGGTATTATTGGAGCACAGTTGAATCCTAGGGTTTTGGCATTGGCAGGCTTAAAATATGCATCTCTTTTTTCAAAAAAAAAACAGTTCTTTTCAAAGAAGAAATAAAATGACTTCAGCCACACCTGGAATCATTTTCAGAACAGGTATATGGTACTCTTACTAATTGTTCAAGAAATTCAGTAAAGATTGTGTTGGAATTTTGCCTCTTTTTCTTCTCATCCACAAAAAACCCATCTATCTCATCTTTAAAAATAATCATGTTTAGATAAATAATACATATGACTTTTGCTCTGTTTTTTGATAGGCTCTACGTGGTATCTTGTCATGTTGTCTAGTGCTGAATTCCTTGTAGTCTTCAAACCCTGGTCTAGTCTTTATCAACTCTTCTTTTATTCCAGTTGTCCTTTCAAGCATATGTTCAATCTGTGT